CAATTATGGAGGAGCAGAACAGAAAGATTACTTTTGGGAAAAATTTCCTGCAGATAGATTTAACTCTGAGAGACTAGTTTGGGTAGAAACGGCAAGGCGGCTAGATATACTCTCCTGGTGATGCTGATACAGAATCTATATAATATAGTCGGAAATTTCTCCTGCACTGCGTTTGAAACTATTAACTGAAATATTCAAATATTATTAAAATACCCTCTGCAGAGTAAAATAAATTTAAAAAAAGCGATATTCCGATAGTATATTACGACTACATTTCGATCTCTATAGCTCTAAATATCTTATGCATCTCTAAGTTCAATTTGACTTCTCACCCCAATTCTTAGTTTTCGGTTTAAACTTGTAATACTGGGTAGAGCAAATGGGGTCTATAAGTTTCTTAGGCTTGGTATTCAAGCTACCAAAATTGCTCCCAAAACAAAAAACTTCATCAGCCATGTTCCAGTTTTCACCTCCGAAAGATTCACACGAATTCGAATTTCCCCGACCTGTTCCAATTTTCACTTCCGCAAGATTTGCACAAAAATTAAAGTTCCCTCTTTTAATTCTCTTTTAACTTCCTTAAAAAACTCACGGAAACTTTTTGCCAAGCATTTGTCTGATTGATTCAGATCCGCAAGAACAGAAATTAATATTTTTAGAATACTTTGCAATAACTTAAAGTGAAAATTACATTTTTGGAAATCCGCCGCCCCTGTACTAGTTTCCAAAACGAATTTGATAGAAACAAAGCAAGGGTTGTCATGGTACAAAAAAAAAATAACTAATTTCTTGAAACTTATTTTTAGCAAACGCTTTTCGGTTTGTTTTTTTAAGGTTAGAAGTGTTAATTAACTAAGTTTAGTTTAAAAGTGTTTTTTTATCTTATTACCCCTTTAACGTACTTACGTAATTTAACGTACTTATTGTGCAAAGCGTGTTGTGTTGGGACCTCTTTATCGTCTTTGGCAGCTTTGATTTCGAACACTACTTGTAAAAGTTTGCAAGACTGGTGCCAAGCAGCTGGTTCACAAGAACTGTTCAAAACTTTTGTTGGTCAGTTTCTATCACTGTCTTTTAAATAAGTAGAATTTGTTATGGTTTGGCTACCAACGATTTTTTGACTAATTTTAGACATTAAATGTGTGCACCAATAATGTACAAAGATTAGAAACAGCAAATGTTGATCACAGATTTGCCTGGAAAACTTAGGCAAATCATAGGCTTTTGTTAAGAGCAGTAACGACAGTCAGCGGTTTTATTTCCCCTCAAATAGTAATTTCCCTGGAAATTTGCTAGCAAGCAAGGGAACTTTGATTATGCTACAGGAAAACCCGACAATGTTAACGAATTCACTTCCGAGTGAAAACTGGAACAGGCCTGTATATTTTTCGTGTCCAACAAAATGTAAAACACTTATATCCGCCATGGCATCGTAAGTATTAACATCCGCTTTTAACGAATGTACTGCCGTTTCCGACCGTCTACGCTGTTTCGAGGCAAGCGTCAATAATTCTTCTGCAACTATTCCAAATTTATCTGCCTGCAAGGTATTATAACCAGAGAAAATTAAATTGTTTTGCAAGCGGCTATCAATATAGGAATCGCACAATCGCCCGCAACTGTTTCACTTGCCATAGTTGGCAACACATGTTGTCGACCAGAACTGCGAGTCCAACTTCTCCGCTTTTGCAACAAGTCGCTTGTCGTGCGCATAAAAATATTTCTTAAGGTCTATGTTTAAGGCAAAAGCTGGCTGCGATTCCTGGTCTTTTTCACTGTAGCGAAGAGTTTTTTCTTAACAGATAAAATATGCCCATTAGCTGGTGCAAAAATAGCTGATGGGCGTGGGCACCTTTTGAGTAGCCACCCCTAACCTCTGGCATCTCTTGAGTATGCAAAAACAAAACTCTGGCAACCATAGGCTGTTCCCAGAATCACGTCCAACAGCATTTTCTTACTATACGGTGCCAATCACACGGTAAATAAAAAAAGATTGTTTAACTTCGCAGTGTTTTCTAATTCACGATAAATAGCATATAGCTCCCATAGGAACAATCGGAAAAAAATAAAAAAAAAATGTTAACTTTGCTGCTTTTTAATTATTTTTTTAAGTTCTTCGACATAAAGTAATGGTTAAATATTTTAAAATTACGGTTTAAATATTATCAAAATCGGACGACTATATCATATAGCTCCCATAGAAATAATAAAAATATATAAAATAACTAATTATTGAGCTGCAAATCATCATAGCTTCAATGTTTTTAGAAATATACGCAAGAAAATCATAATTTTAATATTTTCAAAAATTTATTAATTGTTAACCGGCTCGAGGTCAGGATGTTGAAAAAATAACACAATTTAATTTTGGTTATTTGTCAACATATTTCGGATGCTCTTCGGCAACCGTCTTCAGGACAACTATAAAATAATAACAACGATTTAAATATGCTTAACAAACAGAAAACAATTTTCATTGACATACATTTAATTTACACGTCTGTGTCCGGTGACGTGGGGTTGTTAACTAATTTCTCCTTCCCTAGTAAATGTCTATATAAATGAGCGCAATTGACAGTGTCCGTTTTGTAGTTCATCCGTATGTCTGTATACGGACATAGTTCATCCGTATACAGACATACGGATGAACTACAAAACGGGTGTTTTTATGATATGTAAAATTTCTATGGTGGATCAGACAAAGGAAACAAAACGGTAGCTATGAACAAAGATGACTAGAATCAAAAAATGAAGGACATATTAAAGGATATGAACACATACAGGAAATTAAAGAAAGACCCCACCTCTAAACTACAAACAAAAAATAACGAAATAGTGGACAAACTATCAAAAATGAAACTTATCTCAAGGATCGAAAGAAATAAGTTGACAACCACCACAGCATTACCACCACGAATATATGGACTACCCAAAATTCATAAAGAAGGAACCCCTCTACGACCAATCAGCTCCTCCATCGGAACACCGTCCTATGCACTATGCAAATACATAATTGACATATTTAAAAACATAACAATAGACTCCAAATATAACATCAAAAATTCAGAAGAATTCAAAGACAAAATCAACAACACATATATTGGCGACGATGAAAGATTAATTTCATTTGACGTAATTTCATTCTTTCCGAGTATACCGACAGATCTAGCCCTGGATATAATTAAAAACAAATGGACAATAATACAAAAACACAGTAAAATACCGCAAACAATATTTATGGACATAATAAAATTTTGTATTCAAGAAAAAATAAATAAAAATAAAAGAAATATTTCAAATTTGAAAACAATTTTTACACAAAATTAAAAGGAATGCCTAGGGGATCGCCAGCCTCTCCGTTCATTGTAATGGAAACTCTCCTGGACAACACGTTAGAAAAACTAAGACGATCTCCAAGATTACTGACAAAATACGTAGATGACCTGTTCGCAATCATTCAAGATGACATTAAGACTCTTTCGCCAATAATATAAAATTTCCAATGGAACTAGAAGAAAACGAACAATTAGCTTATTTGGACTCAGTAATAATTAGACGTGAAAACAGGTTAAAATTAAAATAGTACTAGAAACCAATTGCGTCCGGACGAATCATCAATTTTAACTCCAAACACCCAAAACAAATGATAATAAATACAGCTAGAAGCTGTATACAGAGAATGCTCAAAATTTCAGACACGGATTACCACGAAGAGACGACTCAGGAGATGTAATCAATGTTAACAGACAATGATTTCCAAAAACACATAATAAAAACATTATTATCGGAAAACAAAACAACAAAACAAAACAGCGTTAAAAGCAATAAAAACAACAAATATATGTCAATGTTAATGTCCCGGCATTATCCGAACGTGTACCGAAATCGGAATGCTACGACAAAGAAAACATAAGTATCGCACATAAACCGGACCACACATTAAAATCTATATACAACAGAACAAAATCTAAGATAAACGAAATTGACAAAAAAGACGTGATATTTAAAATACCGTGTTACGGCAATAACAACGACATATGCAACGTGATATATATAGGAACAACAAAATCGAAATTAAAAACTAGACTAGCACGGCATAAATCGGACTTCAAAGCTAGACACCATACGAACGCGCAAAAAACAGCACTGATGTCCCACTGTGCCAAGAATAATAACTCTCCGAACTTCGAAGAGGCGAGTATCTTATCACAAAAACAGCGCTATGCAATCGATTCACCATAGAAATGCTACATATCATAAAAACACCTACAGACATACGGATGAACTACAAAACGGACACTGACAATTGCGCTCATTTATATAGACATTTACTAGGGAAGAAAAAAATTAGTTAACAACTCCACGTCACCGGACGCAGACGTGTAAATTAAATGTATGTCAATGAAAATTGTTTTCTGTTTGTTAAGAATATTAAAATCGTTGTTATTATTTAATCGTTGTTATTATTATTTATAAATTAAATGTATGTCAATGAAAATTGTTTTCTGTTTGTTAAGAATATTAAAATCGTTGTTATTATTTTATAGTTATCCTGAAGACGGTTGCCGAAGAGCATCCGAAATATATTGACGAATAACCAAAATTAAAAAATTGTGTTATTTTCTCAACATCCTGACCTCGAGCCGGTTAACGATTAATATACTTTGGAAAGGTCGCTAAAACAAACTAGTTTTCAAAAATGTTTAATTCTTGCAATAGCTGCAAGGGTATATGAACTTCGGCTTACCGAAGTTAACCACTTAACCACTTAATTGCCAGAGCGTATACACAATATCATAATTTATGTACAACTTTTGTGTGGAAATGGGTTTCAACTAAATACCAAAAACTGAAAGAAAGTTAGCGTCGACAAAACGAAGCTTTCATGTTTTTTAATTATGAAAACTTGAGTACTGTCAAAAAGGAGTTTGTTTTAGCATGTCTTAAACCGTTAGAAATTATTTATACACACTAATTTATCCCAATAAATGTCGAAATAATTTTTATGAATCTCTCCACATTTCTTTAATAACGTTTACCCCTAAATTTTACATATCAGAAATGCTGAAGCTTTTAAGACACAATATAAATACATATTAATTAGACCCATTAGAAGTTTTCGTTGAACTGTTTCCACCGATAATATACATGGCTTTGTTGCCGTCTCTTTCACTTCCATAGATTTTTCCAGCCTTTTTAGCCATCGATCCCAAGAGGTCTTGTGAAATTTTGTGTGCTGACCTTAAAGAAGATGACCATTCTTTTAAGCCTATTTCATCCTGAAATTAAAAAATTTATACAGTCAAAAGTTTCAAAGTACGGACCATTCCTTACTGAGTTTGTCAAAATGATTCTGCCATCTCGGCTACCATCGTTAATCCGAATTTGAATGCAATTTTCATTTTTATGAAGAATAAAATCGGATGACATATCTTCTACTTGGTCCATAAATATCAATTCTGGTTTATTATTTCCACTTTCAGAATGTAGCTCTAACCTGAAATACATTGTAAAATCAAAAGATTATTTATGCGTGTCATGAAAAAGCCTTGAGCCTTGTACTATGTTTTATTTATTTGTTTACATTGATTCAACATACTACAATTTTTTTTTATATTTTTTAATCTAACCAAATTGTTATTATATTAACTTATATATATAATTAGTTGTTTATTTTAGTTTTATTCATTTACTTATTTAGTTGTATATGAATTTGTTTTTTTTTTTTAATTTGAAGTTTTTTATTTTTTTACCCTTGCACAGTGTATCACTATGAACGCCGGTTCATATAGTGACGATGAGCACCGGTAAGCGTGCGCAAGGAGACTACGAACAAAAGGTCTCCCTTTTATAAGAGTTTGTTTTTATAAAGTCGTTTGGTTTCGGAGAAATGGGGGTGCGAAAAAATGTTTGACCTATACTGGAGCTATTGGGGCCGGTCAAAATTATCACCTCGTTAGGAATTATATAACCAAATCATGAAAAAACAAGAAAGAAAGCAAACTTCGGCAAGCCGAAGTTCATATACCCTTGCAGCTAAACATTTTTGAAAACTAGTTGGTTTTGCCGACCTTTCCAAAGTATATTAATTGCTAACCGGCTCGAGGTCAGGATGTTGAGAAAATAACACAATTTTTTAATTTTGGTTATTTGTCAATATATTTCGGATGCTCTTCGGCAACCGTCTTCAGGAGAACTATAAAATAATAACAATGATTTTTTTTTTTATATTCTTAACAAACAGAAAACAATTTAAATTTGACATACAATAATTTTACAAGTCTGCGTCCGGTGACGTGGAGTTGTTAACTAATTTTTTTCTTCCCCAGTAAATGTCTTTATAAATGAGCGCAATTGTCAGTGTCCGTTTTGTATTTCATCCGTATGTCAGTAGGTGTTTTTATGATATGTAGCATTTCTATGGTGAATCATTCGGCATGGTGTTGTGGGACAGTGGGACATGAGTGCTGTTTTTTGCGCGTTCGTATGGTGTCTAGCTTTGAAGTCCGGTTTATGCTGTGTTAGTCTAGTTTTTAATTTCGATTTTGTTGTTCCTATATATATTACGTTGCATATTTCGTTGTTGTTGCCGTTACACTGTATTTTATATATCACGTCTTTTTTGTCAATTTCATTTATCTTAGATTTTGTTCTGTTGTATATAGATTTTAATGTGTGGTCCGGTTTATGTGCGATACTTATGTTTTCTTTGTCGTAGCATTCCGATTTCGCTACACGTTCGGATAACGCCGGACCATTGACATTGACATATATTTTTTGTTTTTATTGCTTTTAACGCTGTTTTGTTTTGTTGATTTGTGTTCCGATAATATTGTTTTTATTATGTGTTTTTGGAAATCAATGTCTGTTAACATTGATTTTGTCTCCTGAGTCGTCTCTTCGTGGTAATCCGTGTCTGAAATTTTGAGCATTCGCTGTATACAGCTTTAAGCTGTATTTATTATCATTTGTTTCGGGTGTTTGGAGTTAAAATTGATGATTCGTCCGGACGCAATTGGTTTCTTGTACCATTTTAATTTTAATCTGTTTCCACGTCTAATTATTACTGAGTCCAAATAAGTTAATTGATCGTTTTCTTATAGTTCCATTGGAAATTTTATATTATTGGCGAAAGAGTTTAGCATTGTCAGTGTAGTTTTAATGTCATCCTCTTGAATGATTGCGAACAGGGCATCTACGTATTTTGTCAGTAATCTTGGAGGTCGTCTTTGTTTTTTTTTAACGTATTGTCCAGGAGAGTTTCCATTACAATATCTGCAATGACCGGCATAGGCATTCCCTTTAATTGTGTGTAAAAATATTTTCAAACTTGAAATATCTGTTTTCTTGAATACAAAATTTTATTATGTCTTATGTATTATGTCTTATGTATTTTACTGTGTTTTTGTATTATTGTCCATTTGTTTTTAATTATATCCAGGGCTATTTTTGTCGGTATACTCGGAAAGAATGAAATTACGTCAAATGAAATTAATCTTTCATCGTCGCCAATATATGTGTTAATGATTTTGTCTTTGAATTCTTCTGAATTTTTGATGTTATATTTGGAGTCTATTGTTATGTTTTTTAATATGTCAATTATGTATTTGCATAGTGCATAGGACGGTGTTCCGATGGAGGAGCTGATTGGTCGTAGAGGGGTTCCTTCTTTATGAATTTTGGGTAGTCCATATATTCGTGGTGGTAATGCTGTGATGGTTGTCAACTTATTTCTTTCGATCCTTGAGATAAGTTTCATTTTTGATAGTTTGTCCACTATTTCGCTATTTTTTGTTTGTAGTTTAGAGATGGGGTTTTTCTTTAATTTCCTGTATGTGTTCATATCCTTTAATATGTCCTTCATTTTTTGGTTGTCAATTATGTATTTATTATTTTTCTCGATTCTTGAGATAAGTTTCATTTTTAATAGTTTGTCCACTATTTCGTTATTTTTTGTTTGTAGTTTAGAGTTTGGGTCTTTCTTTAATTTCCTGTATGTGTTCATATCCTTTAATATGTCCTTCATTTTTTGGTTGTTTATAGCTACCGTTTTGTTACCTTTGTCTGATTCACCATAGAAATTCTACATATCATAAAAACACCCGTTTTGTAGTTCATCCGTATGTCTGTATACGGATGAACTATGTCCGTATACAGACATACGGATGAACTACAAAACGGACACTGTCAATTGCGCTTATTTATATAGACATTTACTAGGGAAGGAGAAATTAGTTAACAACTCCACGTCACCGGACGCAGACGTGTAAATTAAATGTATGTCAATGAAAATTGTTTTCTGTTTGTTAGAAATATTAAAATCGTTGTTTTTATTTTATAGTTGTCCTGAAGACGGTTGCGGAAGAGCATCCGAAATATATTGACAAATAACCAAAATTAAAAAATTGTGTTATTTTTTTAACATCCTGACCTCGAGCCGGTTAACAATTAATACATTTTTGAAAACATTAAAATTATGATTTACTTGCGTATATGTCTAAAAACATTGAAGCTATGATAATTTGCAGCTCAATCATTAGTTATTTTATATATTTGTATTATTTTTATGGGAGCTATATGATATAGTCGTCCGATTTTGATAAAATTTAAACCGTAATTCTAAAATATTTAGCCATTACTATATGTTGAAGAACTTAAAAAAAAAATTAAAAAGCAGCAAAGTTAAAATTTTTTTTTTATTTTTTTCCGATTGTTTCTATGAGAGCTATATGATATATATGATTTTGATGAAATTTAAACCGTAATTCTGAAATAATTAACCATTCCTATATGTCGAAGAACTAAAAAAAAATTAAAAACAAGCAAAGTTATAATTTTTTTATTCATTTTTTATTATTTTCAGTCGAAAACGTCGAAAAAATTTATAAACGCGTGGTTTTGCGATTCGCGATGCTAAATCGCATATCGTAAACTAAAGTTTTAATTGATTAATTAATTAATCTTTACGCACTAACAATAAACAAATGAGTAAAAACGTGGATCAGCGCACTCAACGCCAAAAACAACAAGACGAAGCCCGTGAAAAAGCTCAGAGAGAGCAAGACAAACGTCGTCTCTCCTTGGCCCGTAACAATGCTTATTTCTCTTACACGAGTAATACTCTACCAAAAGTGCAAGAAAGTGCAAGTTTACTGACCGCCGAAAACCACAGAGCTAGTTCTTGCTCTCCCGACCTACTTTTCACCGCTCAAACGCCATGGAGTCAGCAATGCAAAACTCTAACCGAGCTTCTGCCACCTTGTGCAACAACAACAGTAACTACTACGTCACCACAACGGACTCTGTCGCGGGTAAAGCAACAACACAACTAAGTGCAAAAATCGGGTCAAACGGCAAAAACAAAGCTACGGTAAGCCATGCAGACAGGCATGGATCGCTACATTAATATTTCCAAGCGCAAGCTAACACCACCAAAAAATTGGACGGCAATATGCCCAAAATAAACCGTTCCAACAAAGGCCATGAAAATCTCGGTTCATTAAATGAAAATAGATTTTCCATTCTGGCGGAGCCTGAAACAGAGTCTGAAGAACTAGCCCCAAAGAAACTCAACAAAATAGTTGAGCTTGTCGGAAAAGATAACTCTCTTGTTATTCCGCTTATGAAAGGGAATATAAGCGAAACCAAACTTCAAACCAAAACAGAAGAAGATTTCCGAGCAGTGTCGAAGTACTTAAACGATCTCAAAAAGAATTACTACACGTACCAGCTGAAAAGTTGCAAGGGTTTACAAGTTGTGCTCAAGGGAATAGAACCCGATGTGACCCCCTCCGAAATTATAGAGGCTTTAAAAGAAAACGGTTTTTACGCAAAGCATGTTCTAAATATTATAAGCAAAAACAAGAAGCCGCAACCACTTTTTAAGGTCATGGTGGAGCCAGACAGCAGAACTTTGAAAAAAAAACGCAGTGCACCCAATCTACAAGTTGCAGTACCTTCTGCACCGTAGGATCACAGTAGAAGAGCCGCACAAACGGAACGAGCCAGTGCAATGCAAAAATTGCCAGGAATACGGACACACCAGTGCTTACTGCACCCTCAGGTCAGTTTGTGTAGCTTGTGGAAACTGCCACGGTTCCGAACCCTGCCCTGCCAACAAGGAAGACTCTCTTACTAAAAAGTGGGTACCTTGCCAAGGAAACCACACAGCAAACTACAGAGGCTGTCCAGTCTACAAGGAGATGAAAGTTGTATGCAACGAGCGACAACGGCACGCCAGAATATCCTCATGAAATCACAAACGACACCGAAAGTTTTCTTCGCAAAAGCAGCCAGGTCATCATTTGCGCCCTCAACTACCACCAACGGAATTTCCTACGCCAGTGCTCTAAGATCAGGCACAGCTCACATAGAGCCGAAAATCGATAACATACAGCAGGCCATGGGGCAGCCACAAAGTATCCATGGGGCATGAAAACTATGATGATAACTTTTCAACAAAATATGATGGAATTTATGTCCTTCATGAAAACCACC